GCAAAAACAAGATGAGAGAGTGAGGCAATAAAGTTTGAGAGCTGTACAACACATGCCACTCAAAAAGCTGGACATTCACCATACACCGAAAATGACTTTTTTTTATAAAACTGAATTACTTTAGGGATGAAAACCCATTCAGCCATTATAATAAGTTGAATTAAACGACTAATAAAAATAAAAGCTTATTATTAGTTGCCACTGAGCCACTAACAGACTCTCGGGAAATGCTTCAGTAAAAATTACAATATAAAAGGCACATTAGTTTTGGAAAACCCTATCAAAAAGTCACACCATGCATGATAAACAGTGTCCTCCTTATTTAATTAGATTCAGGAGCTTGAATACAGAAGTGTTTGCTGTAATCACACATCCTTGCAGAGACCAGCATAATAAATACATCCAAATTGTTCCTGAAGCTATCGGACAAAAGCTATATTTTCTGTTAAATACATTTTTATGTTAAAGGGGTCATATGACGTTGCTAAAAGGAACGCTATTTTGTGTATTTGGTGTAATGAAATGTTTTTATGCGGTTTAAGGGTTCAAAAAACACATTATTTTCCACATACTGTACATTATTGTTGCTCCTCTATGCCCCGCCTTTCTGAAACGCGTCGATTTTTACAAAGCTCATCGTTCTGAAAAGCGAGGTGTACGCTGATTGGCTGAATACCTCAAGCGTGTGACGGAAATGTTACGCCCCTTAACACACTGTGATGCCGTCTCCCAGCACAGCAAGACAAAACCAATAAAACCCATTACAAACGAGGCATTTGTTGCATCCAGTGGGGACATAATTACTGATTATAATGACATATACTGTCTTTTTACGCGTTGCGTTGCGTATCGCGCTGCGTAAACATAAAACCATGTCTGCATTTGTGATCGGAGAAACGACAAACAACAAGCGCTACTCGCAATTGAATCATCATTGGCAAATTCTTTAAATATAAAAACTTTACTTACAGTCTGTCAGTCAGAAGCGCCAGACTGTCCTTGCAAAGTTGGAACTGCCCCACTTTATAGAAACAGCCTTTGTGCACAGACGCATTGTAGGTTACTCTGCAGGTTCAGGAAACAGTCTTCCATAAAATGCGTCACACAGCGGTACACACGGCGGGCTTGAGTGAGCGGAGGCGGGCGGCCTTGAGAACGGCGGGCTTGCGGCAACCACATGTGACGACCCCGGGCTGGACTCCGCATCATCCACGGTGAAAGCCGATCCAGCGATCCACAGCGTGAAGTTGATGTATTTCCTCAGCGACCAGCACGGATCAGCTCTAAGCATGACGAAGCGGATATCATCCTCTTTTGGAAGACCAAACAAAGTAGTTTCGCTTTCACAACTAAACACACAGCATCTCCACAACATGGCGCCGGCGGCAACAACAATACTACAGCGAGAATAAAAGTTACGCCTTCTTTCTTTGCTTGAACATTTGGGCGGCGTTATGCAAATCTTCCCACATCATGACGTAGACATGTGGGGGCGTGTTAGAACGAGCCGTTTTAGGTAGGCGTGGACAAGTCTTAACTTTTATAAAGAATATCTCTTTGGATTTGAGACTTTAGTCTTTGCAACTTTACAGATCTTCTTTATGCACCAAGAGCTTGTAACACTCCAAAGAGAAAGGAAAAATTGAAATCGCATTACATGACCCCTTTAACAAAAACACATGTCCAGCTCATAAATGTGAACTGATAATAGCCTACAGTTTTGGAGCTAAAAATCAATGAGACATTAATATTATAGAACAGAGCATAAGGCTTTGAACATCTGTCCCTTGAGGGCGTGCAAACTTTGTATAAATAAATAAACAAACAAACAATCGAACGAACGAATGAATGAATGCTGTTGTTTTCTCTATTCTCTATTCACCAAAGTATCCTAAAATAATTATGTATTGCAATTTCCACACAAAATATAAAGTAGCAACTGTTTTCAACATTGTTAATAATAAGAAAGTTTTCTTGATCACTAAATCAGCATATTAGAATGATTTCTGAAGGGTCATGTGACACTGAAGACTGGAGTAATGGCTGCTGAAAATGCAGCTTTTCCATCACAAGAATAAATTACATTGATAAAAAAAAGACAATACAAAAAACAACTTATTCCACTTAAGTTTAAAGTTTACCTAAGGCTGCAATGCCTTTTAGCATTTTTTAATGCATTTTTTTAATCACATTCTACAAAGGCTGTATTTGAAAATATAAATAAATAAAAAGTGACACTTTACAATAAGGTTCCATTTGTTAACATTACTTAAGTACATAACATAAACTAACAATTAAAAATACTTCTAAAGCATTTTAGTAATCTTAGTTATGATTAAATGTTGATTCCAACATTACTAAAATCAAAAGTTATATTTATTAACATTATTTAATAGACCTGAGCTAAAATGTTTAACATTGAACAGTTTTTTATGAACTAATGTTAACTAAGATTACTAAATACTGTAACAAATGTATTGAGCATTGTTAGTTAATGTTAGTTAGTGCATTAAATATAGTTAACAAATGGAAACTTATTGTAAAAAAAAAAATGCTGATTTTATTTTTTCATAATTGGTGCAAGCAAATATCATGTCTTGTTATTTTTTTTTACTTTAATAAGTTAAAACTTTAATATACCCGTTTAATAGCTTTTTAGGCTTTGAAAAATTGTGTATACAAAACAAAGTACCCACAAAACATCTGCATATTATAGCACACACAAGTAAATACCATAAAATGGTATTTCTTGTTACAAACATCTCAATATGTCTCACACGAACACATCTGTGTCCATTAAATTTTTACACTCTACAAACTCATCCACCAAACATCTGCTGGGAGATATGTGCAGTTTATGGGCAAGTTACGATGCAGAAATATGCTGTAAATACAGATAACAAGGCCTGGATGCCCAGCACTACCAGAGTGACATTCATGAAATAAAACAACAAAGCAGGAACATCCAGAATGTTCTTCTGAATAAAGGAAGCCTAATTTAACTACATTAATAAAAGGATAATGTGGTGCCATTATCATTAACAATATGAATGTTACTACCCAGATATAATCAAAGAATGTGATGTAATGATGGCACACCTGCCACTCCAAGAGTTCTTCACAGATTTGACGACCAGACCCTCTTCAGTTAGAGGACCATACAAATCTCTTCTTTAGGGATCTGGGAGAAGAGGCCCTCACTGCACTAAATCTGATCCATTGAGGAATGAAAACAGAGAAATTTCGGAGGTGCTTTAGGAAAACCATTTGAGTTGGCATTTCACTGTAACCTTTTATGAATCAATATCCCATTTATGACTCAATATGCATTACAGATTTGGACTGAAGGCCTCTTGAAGGGTGCCTATTATTGTAAAGAGACAGTAAGATCATGGGTAATAGCTTACTTAGCTTAAATTGCTTAAATATATTATTAAATATGTCAAATTATTTTAAAATATGACAAAACAAGCATAAAAAAGCTGAAACATCTCAAAATCAAGATGTAAACTGACATCATATTTCTTATGTTAATTTGTTCATTCAGTCATGGAAATTAATACATTCTTTAAAAAGCAATATTAATTTTTATGAGTATACATTTTTCTAGCTTTATTTATTAGAAGAAGAAGAATCAAAGTCTGTAATCACAAATGCTTGAAAATGAGTGTGAACCCAGAAGAACATTCTGTTCTAGACACTTGTGAAATTATTTACAATATTTTTTATTAAATTCTTTTAATATATTGTCAACAGTGAGTTTAAACAAACAAGCAGCTTTGTTGTCATATGATGAATATTATATAAGGGCTTTCCTGTAGCTCAAACAGTAGGTCATGGGTTCGATTCACATGGGAAACCAAGAACTGATCAAATGTACAGGTGCATCTCAATAAATTAGAATGTCATGGAAAAGTTCATTTATTTCAGTAATTCAACTCAAATTGTGAAACTTGTGTATTAAATAAATCCAATGCACACACCTTGAATGCAGTGTAAGTAGCTTTGGACAAAAGTATCTGCCAAATGCATACATGTAAATGTAAATATCTTAGACTAGATAGTGACCCTTCGAATATTGTCTTGGACAATAGAGGAGCCTTGAATTCACAAAGAATCCAAGATTTTCACCGCCACAAAAAGAAAAACTTCCACACACTGAAAAAATACGCACAGTGGTATCCATTTACTTATCTGTTGAATCAACAATATTTTTTGGAAAATTCTGAGTTACTTAGCCTCCTCTTCTAGCAGTTACACAATAAACCCGAAAGACAGAATAATAATTATATTTTGCATAAAGAAAAAAATAGCCAGTATTTGGGATCATTGATCATTTGCATTGATTGCAATGTTGCATAATTTTAGCGATTATAAAATACATTTCCCTCCAATTCTCATCGCCGTAATGCAAAAACTAAAACAATTCTTATTAATGTTCTTATCAGCGAAAATTATTTTATGAATAAATGTATTGGCAAAATATTTATACACGCATGCATACAACATTGCAGTATGTAATTCATTAATTTATGCTAATTTAAGGTTCATTAGTTAACACAAGTTAACTACTTCAGTTAGTTACTGAGCATGAACAATACTTCTACAGCATTTATTAATCTTATTGAATGTTAATTTCAACATTTACTAATGCATTATTAAAATCAAAAGTTTGTTTGCTTGTTTTCCCCACTAGAGGGAACCATTTGCATACATGTTACAAGTATCTCTAGTTAACCTTTTTGCAGGGAATTTGAGGCATTTGTGAAAGAATAATGCAAATTTTTCTGTGTTTGGAAATAGTTCAGGTACGTTTGCTTCTCTGAATTTACAGTTGAAGTTTACTATGGAGCAGTGCTTCCGTAAGGGACAATGTATAAAGTCCATTTGAACGGTTTCACCAACCAACCTGGCATATGTTTTCTTCATCTTAAAAGATTAAACAGCAGATCTCCTAGATTTTCCAGCGGCTTCCACAAAATACAACGGTGTGCTTTGACCTCCATTTCAAGTACACAGGAAAACCACCAAGAGTGTCCTGGCTTGTCTTTACTCTTTGCATTTCTCATTCAATTTCTTTCCCAGGTCATCGCTGGTCTCTTGAGAGAACTGATACTGTTCATCAGCTGTCCAGCACTACTTCATAATGGCACTTTGGCCAAAACAGACACTGACACAGCATCCTCTCTCTTCAAAAGATTAACCAGTTTGGTTTTCTTATTTAAAAAAAATAATAATTTAATTTAGAATGAGCATTATTGGCATTTGTGATATCACCACGGGGAATGTCACCATGACACCTGAGACAGTGTCCATGGAAAATAAACCATTGTTGCATATAATTGTTATATAATGTGTTGACAACCCTTCTGTGCTCCTGACAAAGACACTGGCCTGATACTTCACTTCAGTACCTCTGCAGTATAGGATATAGTGGTCTCAACAAATAACTGAAAACAGTTTCAGGAATCATTTATGATAATTCAAATATATTTTTCATTGTATATTTAGAATTAGTTCAGTTTGATTTATAGAATTGTAAAACTACCAATACTATATATATATATA